GCTACTGAGGGGCAGGGGTTGGGAGGGGTCTGCTTTAATTGTCAGAGGCAGCTGGCCATTTGGTTTTGGTCAGATAAGCTGCTAAGGCAGGGCGTGTGTGTGTGTGTGTGTGTGTGTGTGTGTGTGTGTGTGTGTGCAGGGCTGGGATGGGGAAGGGGGTGACGTGTGGCTGAAGAAATGGGAGAGGAATCCCGGGGTGGGCTGGGCAGCCCAGTTTCATCCCGATCCCCTGTCCTCCCCGCCCCCTCCCCCCCCTCAGATAACACCACCAGCTGTTCAGGACACAGCTGTGCTTTCTCTTGGGAAGGGGAGAGAAGGGCCTCGTTGCTCTGGGTAAGTTCAAAGCAGACCTGTGAAGTGAGGGGGCTGGAGCAAGCCTGGGGAGGAGGTGAGAAGTCAGCAAGGGGCAGAGAAAGACAGCTTCCACTTTGATGTCCTCCGCCCAGAGCCTGAGGCAAGGTCTGGGCAGGTCCCTGCAGACAGGAGAATTTGGGCCTCCTCCCTCACCGAAAACCCTAGAGAGATCCAATTAACCACCCTTTCCTGCCCCACAAGGGGGAGGCTCATCCAGTGCCTGACCCAGGTACACACCGGCGCATGGAAGCATGCACGCACCAATGCAGACTTGTCCCGTCTGCACACAAGCGGCCCCACAACACACAGAGGCCCTTCCCGTTTGTGCACATAGCCGCACACAGTCATGGGCGGGAGGCCAAGCCAGTGTCTCTTGCTTTCTAGGCCAGGAACAAATCGGGGGCTTTGAATCGCTGACTCCAGAGGGGTCCCCAGCAGTCTGGGCTCTCTTCAAAGGGACCCATGGCTGGCCTGGGGCGCTGTTCTGCCCAGAGCTGTTCATGCCAAGCCCCTCACAATACCCTGAAGAAATCACCCAGGAGAGAGTGGAGTCCCCCAGGAAACCAGTCGGCCTCTGCAGGGCAGGCCAGCTCCTGGGGACACTGGCTGACAGCCCTGCCCTCCCTGCTAGTTTGCCAGATGGCTCAGGGCAGATAATTCTGGATCAGTTTAGCAAAAAGATGCCCTTGTTAATGCAGTAGAACAGGCCCTGGAGGGAAGACCCAGTCTTTCCCATCCTTTTCCTGAGATCGTTCCTACAGCTTTAATTCAGGAGGCATTTACCAGGCACCTAACTGAGGTGGGGATTGTGTGTGTGGTATGTGTGTGGGGGGGGGGGCGGGGGGGGCAGGGGCTGGGTACCAAAATGAAAACAGGTGTCTTACCAGGTGCTCTCAGTCTGGTGAGGAATTCCTTCTGAGCCCTAGGGGCACGTAAGGTCAGGCTTCAGCCACTGGTCCTATTTACTAAACTTTCATCTCTAGGTCGCATGGACAGGGACCTTAGGTGTGGGGTTGGGTGAGGAGTGTGAGGCTCCCTTGATTGTCCTCATTTCAGGCTGTCGTTGCTGGGGGCACGCAGGCCACCTGGGTCCAGCTGGCGTTCCTCCAGCTATTGGCTGGAGGTCAGATCTTATCTGATCTTCACCCACTCTGGCCCCCCTCTCAGTGCCCCCTCATAGTCTTGGCTCCCAATTCTCTCCCATTTTGACTAGTCTGGTTCCTCTGGTGAGATTAACTGCTTCTTACCCCCTCGGAGGTACAGAACCTGGAGATCAGAGCCCTAAAGAGATGACCTCCCACGAGGTCTCTATCTGGCTCAGGATCCAAAGGGGAACAGCTGCGGTGAGAGATATGATTTTGGGGACACTCTGAGCTCACTTGCTCTCCTTCTTCCATGTTCTTAGCTGCAAAAGGCCCGGGTGCCTATGTCTTTCTGGGAGAACCAGAGATGATCTGGATTTCCCCGGGGTCTTGAACTTGGCCTTTATCTTGGCATGTTCTGAGCTGCTGTTTTTATTCATAACAGGTGCTATTACTTGTGACCTGACCTGTGCCAAGTCAGTTCCTGCTCACCTCTCGGGTCCCTTGTAATGGGTCAAGATTGGGGTAATCTGACATGGTTTTCACCCAGGCTTACTGTCAAATAAATGAAAGCCATATGGCCCCCTGTACAGGCTTCTATTAGATAAACATCCCAGGGCAAGCAGGCCCAATGCCGTTCCAACCCTGTGTACCATGAGGTCAACCTCATTCCCGCTCTGGGGTATTGGGCATCCTGGCCGCCATTTTGCAGACTGCTATGATGCCAGACACTGGATGCTGTTAGCTTTCCTGCTGGCCTCAGGTGACCAGGAATTCCTTTTGGCAATGGTTGGCCATGGGGCAGTTTCTGGATCAAGCTATGTTGACAACCCTAAGGTACAGTACAGACTATTGCTTGGTCAGATTTCCTATAACCTGTTCAGTCAGGGGAGTGGGGGAGTGGAGAGTGTCTCTGAAATAGTTTAGTCCATCTTTAAAAAAATTTCACTTGAGAGCTCATTTTATTTTTATATTTTTAAGTTTATTTATTTTGAGAGAAAGAGAGAGGGAGAGTGCATGCGTGAGGGGGGGAGGTGCAGAGAGAGAGAGAGAGAGAGAGGGAGAGGAGAGAGAGAATTCCAAGCAGGCTCCATATTGTCAGCGCACAGCCCAACTTGGGGCTTGATCTCATGAACCCTGAGATCATGACCTGAGCTGAGATCAAGAGTTGGATGCTTAATGGGCTGAGCCACCCAGGCGCCCCACAGAGAGCTTATTTTCAAGAAAATTACAGGTGTCCTGGCATTATCTCACATTTCTATAATGCTCAGCAGATTCACACCCCCAATTTAAAAAGGGTTGGGATTTTTCTTTTCTTTCCTTCTTTTAGGGGGAGGAGAACTTAGAGATTTTACTCCATGCGCTCAAGCCTTGGTTCAAATTCTGGCTCTGACAGTTGCTAGCTGAGTGACCTTGGCCAAGTTACCTCACTTCCCTGTGCCTCAGTTTCCTGATCTGTCAATTGAGATTAATGAGGGTGCCTACTTCCTAACATCATTGTGTTGATTGAAAGAGCTACTACACACACAGAAAATGTATCACATGTTTAGAAGAGCTCCTGGCAGGGAGGAGGGGCTGGATATGGAGAAACACAACCGTTACCCATCCAAGACTTGGGATCTTTCTTGTCCGGCTCGCACGTTTCCTCCTCTGTGTCTCCCCGTTCCATCCTGAGATGTTGGCCATGTTTGCTGTCATTTCTCTGTCTTTGCTTTTTATGTTTCTTGCTCCTGGCCCATTCTCTCTGGTACCCTGCACCTTATATTTTGGCAAGTTCCTGTTCAAAGAGCACAAAGTGGGAGTGGCAGAAGACATGGTTTCTTTGCTTTTTTTTTTTTTAAGTGTTTATTTTTGAGAAAGAGAGAGAGAGAGAGAGAGCACACGTGCCTGGGAGAGCAGCAGAGAGAGGGAGACAGAGAATCCCAAGCAGACTCCGTGCTGACAGCACAGAGCCCGCCATGGGGCTCGAACCCACAAACCGTGAGATCATGACCTGAGCAGAAATCAAGAGTCAGTCACTTAACTGACTGAGTCGCTCAGGTGCCCCATCCTTTCTTTTAGTTGTTGTTTTTGAATGGGATGAATTTCCCAAATTTGCAAATCTGGAAATTTCTCGTGAAATCTGGAATTTCAAATTATGTAGAAAAATTAGAATGTTTGGTAATGTTACCTTTCTGCATGGCCACCATAGACTGAAGTTTAGGAGGGCTTCTCTCGATGGGCTGTGTTGCTCTGGTTTGCCACAGACTTTGCCATACCCTAATGTCCCACACTGACTTTTTTACCCATGTAGACTCATAACCGGGTCCTGGTGGGTATTTCAGTTTGGGGCCTCTGCTTTAAGTCCCCTGCAAGTTTTCTGACCAACCCTCCCTTGAGACAAGGAATTCTTGTTTGGTAAGCCCTTTGTTTTGGAGGAGGCCGGGACTTATCTCTTGATTTTGCCCCATTTTATCCCTCCTCAACCTTAGATGGACTCCTCCATTCTTGGGGGGGGTACATTTTTAACTCTTATCTGGTGCATCCTTCCCTCTTTCCTGCCCAGAGGTCCTGGAAAGGTGAGCAGACAGGGCAAAGTGAGCTTGTATGGGGCTGTACCCACAGCATCCCCTCAGTGACCACCCCTTTCTCTGCCTCCCCCTCTGGCTGCATGGTCTAACAGAGATCTGGTCCCCCAAGGGCAGGAAGAACCTGAGCATTGAAATGTACCTAGGTTCTTAGCGCACATGAACTGTTCTTTTCTCTCGTTCACAAGTTCACCCATCGTACATTGCTTCTCTCAACCATCATTTAGTGATCACCTACTACATAGCAGGAGCCGCAGGTGCTTGGAGAGGAAAAGCAAACAGCGGAACCGTAACAAAATTCATCCTGTGATTTTGAGTAAGACATTTGCCTTGTCAGGCCTCAGTTTCCCCACAGATTTAATGCTTGATTTCATGAGTTTTGCCCAAGGTTTCTTCCTTCCAGGACCTTGTCCCCCACCCTCTAAAACTTCCTATGCCGTCTGCTAAGAGATGATGAATTCTAGAGAAATCCCCTTAACTGTAAACCACAAAAGTTCCCCCGAGGGAGGGTCAAAGCGGAGGTGTGAAGGAGGATGACCACAGAGAGAAGTCTGGGAGGGTGCGAGGGAATGGTGGGGGCCCGGCCTGCCTGCTGGGAGGGCTTGCCAGATGCTAGGAGCATCCTGAGAAATCTCACACCCTCCTGGCCCCCCACCCTCCCTGGCTCCAGCTCCGGCTGGATTTCAATCTGCATAATTTGCCCCATTTAGAGGGGAGGGGGTGAGAGTGGGAAGGTGGGGAGGGTTGCTGTGGGGCTGCTCTTAAGGCCAGAGGAAACCACGGAGGGGGATGGAGGAGGCTGGTGAGAAGGTGGGTGGTAGCCAGAGGGTGGAGGCGGGGCCCTGAGGAGAGCAGGCTGCAAACCCCAGATAATATTCTGCCCAGTGCGGCAGGGCTCAATTTGGTCCACTTGCCTGGGGACAAGAAGGAGGAAAAAAAAAAAGTGGGCTGTAACTTAAAGATCTTAAGACTCCCAAGTGAGGGGCTGGTCTGGAGGAGGGTGGGAAGAGGGAGTGACCAGACAAGGAGGAGACAGAGACTCAGGAGGGCGCAAGGAAGTGTCTTAGCGGAGGCTGGGGCGAGGCAGGAGAGGGTGGAGGAAAGTCTGCAGGAACAGGCATCCTCCAGAAGCCGGAGGCAGCCTCTCCCGCTGCTTGCTGGGACGGGCTCTGGACACCCTCAGCTCTTCTCGCCTGCCCTCTGAGGCTCAAGCCAGCAGCAGCTCAGGGCTTTCGCTGGGTTGGTGCCACAGCTGTGGAGCTGGTGCCCTCGGGACCCCCTGCCCCGTCCCCTCTCCACCGCCCAGCATGGAGGAGGCTGGCGATTTTGACAACTACTATGGGGCGGATAACCAGTCCGAGTGCGAGTACACAGACTGGAAGTCCTCGGGGGCCCTCATCCCTGCCATCTACATGCTGGTCTTCCTCTTGGGCACCACGGGCAACGGCCTGGTGCTCTGGACCGTGTTTCGCAGCAGCCGTGAGAAGAGACGCTCGGCTGACATCTTCATCGCCAGCCTGGCAGTGGCCGACCTGACTTTCGTGGTGACCCTGCCGCTGTGGGCCACCTACACCTACCGGGACTACGACTGGCCCTTCGGCACCTTTGCTTGTAAGCTCAGCAGCTATCTGATCTTTGTCAACATGTACGCCAGCGTCTTCTGTCTCACCGGGCTCAGCTTCGACCGCTACCTGGCCATCGTGAGGCCGGTGGCCAACGCTCGGCTGAGGCTGCGGGTCAGCGGCGCCGTGGCCACGGCGGTCCTGTGGACGCTGGCTGCCCTGCTGGCCATGCCTGTCATGGTGTTCCGCTCCACCGGCGACCTGGAGAACACCACCAAGGTACAGTGCTATATGGACTACTCCATGGTGGCCGCCGAGAGCTCCGAGTGGGCCTGGGAGGTGGGCCTGGGGGTCTCGTCCACCGCCGTGGGCTTCGTGGTGCCCTTCACCGTCATGTTGACCTGCTACTTCTTCATTGCTCAAACCATCGCCGGCCACTTCCGCAAGGAGCGCATCGAGGGCCTGCGCAAGCGGCGCCGGCTGCTCAGCATCATCGTGGTGCTGGTGGTGACCTTTGCCCTCTGCTGGATGCCTTACCACCTGGTGAAGACGCTCTACATGCTGGGCAGCCTGCTGCACTGGCCCTGTGACTTCGACCTCTTCCTCATGAACGTCTTCCCCTACTGCACCTGCATCAGCTATGTGAACAGCTGCCTCAACCCTTTCCTCTACGCCTTCTTCGACCCTCGCTTCCGCCAGGCCTGCACCTCCATGCTCTGCTGGGGCCAGAGCAGGTGTGGGGCCACCTCCCACAGCAGCAGCGGGGAGAAGTCGGCCAGCTACTCCTCCGGGCACAGCCAGGGGCCCGGCCCCAACTCGGGGAAGGGTGGGGAGCAGATGCACGAGAAGTCCATCCCCTACAGCCAAGAGACCCTGGTGGTGGACTAGGACTGGGGTCGGAGGGGAGCCCGGGGCCCTCTGCCCTGCCCCAGGCTTTGCCCTTGCTCTCTGAAAGTCAGGTAGCATGATAGCACCTTCTCTCTTGCACTTAACCCTCTTCCCTGCCCCCTGCCCTCTCTGGTCGTCCTTCCTCCTTGAGTCTTGTTCAGGTGTTTGTAGTTTAGCGGATGGAGACTGAGCCCTGCAGACTCCTGCTCAGCCACTCGGGATCTGTGAGATGGACCTTGCACAAGTCTCTTGACCTCTCTGAGCCTCAGTTTCCCCATTTGTCTAAAATGGGGGAAGTCATGCTGGCTCAGTTGACATGTGTTGCCCTCACCCCTTTTCTTGGATCTCCAGCGTTTTCTTCTCCTTCCTTCCTTCCTAGTTTTCTCTCCCCTGTCCCTGTCCCTGCTTCTCTCTCTGCACTTTCCATTCCAAATCCTCGCCTGCTGGCTGCAGCCACCTCTCTCACGGCACACCCCCTCCCTCAATCCCTCCTTCTTTCCCTTTTTACTTCCTGGTTCTGTAGGGCTCCTAAGGGTTAAGAATCCTGAAGCTTGCACACAGGGCCCCTGCTCCAGGTCTCTCTGGTTCCCTGAGAGTGCGGGGAGCGGGGAAGAGTGCTGGAGGGAGGGGGGGTGGGGGGTGGGGGGGTGGTGGCTGGAGGACTGGTGAGTCAGCCAAGAGTTAACTCCAGGCTCTGCAGCTGGGAGCTCCAGAACCTTCTCCCAGACTGGATCAGTTCGCTGTAATTTCAGGCACTAAGGATCCCAGAGGGGTGCCTCCCTTCCTGCACCCCCCCTCCCCAGTGCCAACCCGATACACTTTTTACAGATTTCCTCAGACCCTCTGCGTGCAAACTGGAAGGCTACCATATCTGATGAAGGGAAAGCTCCTTGCTTCGGTATATGAGTGGGGGAGGGGTTGGGATGGGACCGTGGAGGAAGAAGGGAGTCTGTATTTAGTCTATATGCTGTGCGGCTTCCCTCTCTGATTCCTCACCCGTCAGGACTCCTCCAGAACTGTGAGCTGCAGGTCTAATCCCTGTCTCACCACACCCTGTCATCCCCAGGCAGGGGGCTTTTCTTGAGCTCTGGTGCTGCCTGGTGCCAAGAAGTGTGTGTGTGTGTGTGTGTGTGTGTGTGTGTACGTGGATGAAGTCACTTGTCACTTGGGTGAACTACCCCCTACTCTCTACCACATCTCCAGTCTTCACACAATATCCTTGGGAGAAGAGGGACATATTGAGACAATATAGAATAAAAATGAGTCCACCCCCCACTGGATTTGGGGGCTCTGACGGCTGGTCCGTGCTTTAAGAGAGAAGTCTATGTTACTGCTGGGGCCTCCCTGGGGAGATCTGTCCCTGGGACGGTGGTGCCCGAGGCCTGGGGAAACCCAGTGTGCTGGGTCCCATCCTTCCTAGTTCCAAGAAGGAGGCAGGAGGTGGTAAAGAGCGTCCCCGTTTTGTGTTTACCCTTTTCCCGAGGTCTGTGGCCCTCTCCCTAAGGAGGCTGCCTTCTTGCCCGGGGTTTGAAAGGAACTGGGTGGGTGTTTTTTCTCACCTCACCACCTGGACGGGACCCCTTGGCCTCTCCCGCTGGGCTGGGGGGCTGGGAACAGTGACTGGAGCAGCCGCGACAGGGCTGAGGGCATGACTTCATGCCACCAGAGAGGCCTCAAGGACAAAATTGATGATGGGGCCTTTGTGAGCCAGGGTCAGGGGTTTTGTTCTTGGAGGACTCCGGATGGGACGTGAAGGACAAGATTTGCACCGCGGAGGCAGGAAGAGCCCAGCTTGGTGTAAATGGAGACCTTGACCATCCCTGGGATGGCGCCAGCCCAGGAGCAGAGGGAGGAGGAGAAAGGAAGAGACTCCTCTCAGCTTAGTCACCCCCTCACTGGCCAGAATCCTCCCTTCTCAGCCCAGCACTGCTGAGCATGCCATCAAGGCTGGAGGAAGCTTCAAGAAGGGAAGCTTCTGAGGCCCTGGTCGGTGACCCCAGAGACCTTTTGGCTGGAACTCATCTGTGGCCCTGGACAGAGGGTGGAGGCTACCCCATCCCCTACCAGCCCCTTCTTCTTCGGAACGTCTCTGCTACTTTCTGACCCTGTTAGTCACTGAGGTTCATGAAATAAATCTGTTTTGTGTAACTCTTGTGTCCAGAGCTTCTTCTCACACAAGTGTCTTGGGAAGAGAAAAGGCCCCCGGTTTGCAAAGGTTGCAGGGGGAGGTAGTGTGGGCATGGCCGAGGGGGCACAGGAGGAAAGTAGGAGCTAACAGGAGTCAGGTGGGAAACTGGAAAGGGAGGGGGGAGGCGGGAAGAGCACTGAGAGATACACACCAGGGCAAGGCAAGGGTTGGGGGTGAGACCGGGTGAGAGCACAGGAAATAAAGCAGCTCAGTGTTTGTGCTCTGAAAAGCTGTGGAGCCAATGGGCACACACTTCGGAGTCCACACATTCATTCATTCACTCATTCACTCATTCATTGTCCGGTGAGCCTCCATTCAGTTTAGATCAGGGGTTCTGGTCTCCTGGCAGTCACTCCCGATGTTTGCAAATACGCGTTCCTGAGCGGCACCTCCGACCTAGAATTTCCTGGACTACCCCTCCAGAGGCTCACAACTGCTAAGAACTCCTCAGATGATTTCTGGAGGAGGCCAGGTTTGGGGATGCCCAGTGTACCCAGATTTCCTGGGCGAATTAAGATGAGCACAAAAGAGCAGAGAATCAGAGATGGATGTTCACTGATTTGGGGGAGGAAGAGCCTGAAGTGGCCCCTGGGGAGGGGGAACACTCAGTCCAGAGGTGTTCATCATCTTCCATGAAGGCTTTGGGCACTAACAGTGTCCATAAATGACGCAAAGGCGGTCACTGCAGCAGGCTGGATGGTAATGACCGAGCCCACGTCCATGGTGATTTACCATGGGGTGTGTGAAGCTCTTCCAAATATTATCGTATTTAATCTGAGCAAGGTTATTTTTACCTCATTTTGCTGATAAAGATGCCAAGATTCAGAGAGATTAGTCAGGTACCTTGAGCAAGGTTGCACAATCAGTGTGTGGAAGAATGAGCCCGGAAACAGCTGAACCTGTCCACTTCCAAAGCCCATGCTCTCAGCTGCTGTTTCTCAAGACGTACAAGTGATGCAGGGCTGGGTGGGTGGGAAGGAAAGTGAGGCCTCATGTGTAAGGCACGGGCACACGTGGGGAGGGCTCACCGTACAGGGACTGGTCAGGATGGGGGTGGTGAGTGGAAGGGTGGGGGATGTGTAAGAAAGAGAGAAACAGAGACATCGAGAGACAGAGTCAGAGAGAAAGTGAGGGGAGAGATGGAGACAGAGCTGTGGAGAGAGAAATAAAGAGGTTGAGGAGGGGGGTGCCTGGGTGGCTCAGTCAGTTGGGCCTCTGCCTTTGGCTCACGGTTTGGTTTGGTTTGTGAGTTTGAGCCCCACATCGTGATCTCTGCTGTAAGCGTAGGGCCTGCTTAGGATCCTCAGTCCCCCTCTTTCTCTTCCCCTCCCCTGCTCTCTCTCTCTCCCAAAAATAAACATAAACCAAGAAGGGTGGGTGCCTGGGTGGCTCCGTTGGTTAAGAGTTCTTAACTGATCTTGCCTCAGGTCATGATTTAGGAGTTCAAGCCCCACATCAGGCTCTGGGCTGACATCACAGAGCCTGCTTAGGATTCTGAGTCTCCCTCTCTCAGCCCATCCCCCCTCACTTTCTCACGTGCTCTCTCTCTCTAAATAAGTAAATAAACTTTCAAAAATGTTAAAAAAATGAAAGAAGTGGGTGAGGAAGGAGAGTGTTGCGGAGGGAGGGAGGGAGCTGGAGGACTGGGTGTCGCTTGTTTTCAGCCCTTGGATGTTTTTGGGGTGGGGGGGGTGGGTGGGGGAGGCTGCAGGAATTTACAACTGCAACTAACGACTCAAGCTATTTTTCTTTTTTACAGATGCTGTAAAAAACCAAAAACCAAAAAACCATAAAACAAAAACAAAACCACTTCACCAACCCCCCCAGGGAAATTTGATGTAAGTTATCCAAAAAACTGTAAGATTGTAGAACGGCTAATAATTCACTTATCCACACATTTCTTCCTTTCTTCACTGACTCACTCACTCATCTGGTTATTCATCCAGTCCTTATTTACCACTTCGGTGCCAAGCAGTGTGCTGGGAACAGGATTAAATGGTGAACAGAACTCAGTGGGCTCTGGGCAGGTAGAGGTAGGGAGAGGGCTGGTAATAATCGGCAGACTCTGAGGAGGGAGCACACACGGGGTTCTGAGCACTTAATGGAGATGGTGGAAGGGGTCTAGGCAGTGTGTCAGGGCAGACGTTAGAGATAGTGCCTTTCTGGCGAGGGCTGCTCTGGAAGGGAGGAGGGTGAGTGGTTAGTGGTGAAATTCTCCACGGAGAGGAATTACCCAGAGAGGAGACAGAGCGCAGTCCCTCCAAGAACTCGAAAGCAGCTCATCTACTCACCCATGCTTTCTGCCCCCCATACCAGCTCTGGGAGGGGAGCCAGGCAGAGGCACAGAGGAAAGCTTACCCAGGTCTTGGAGTGTGGATGACAGCAGACTGGGCCTGGGGACCACAGTGCCCGTCTCCAGACAACCTGGGAGCCAGGGATTTTTTAGGGGGTGACTCCCTGTTTCCCCCAGCCTGGACGTGTACTGTTTTCCCTTCAAGACATCTACCACCAGGGTCTTAGCTTAGACAGAGGCTGAGAGCTCTGGTCCTCTCACACTGTGCTTGTAGGAGAGAAAGATGCTTAAAGGGGCTGATGGATCCCTCGGGAAGACCACCCCCGGAAGCCAGGATGACACAGCATGATGAGAGCTGGAAGTGATGTCTGCCTTTCTCAGCTGGTACCGCTCTCTGAACTCTGGGGAGTTGGAAGCTTGTGGGGCCTGAAGTAGCAGGTGCAGCCTTTGTGAATTATTACCCAAATGCTTATACAGTCGCTGTGAGCAATGTTGGAGATGATTACAGAGGGGGCTTAAAATGAAGTTGACAATAAAGGAGATTCAGAGACCTTGGGCTGACTAGTTAAACTATGAGGATTTCAAGTGATGTTCCTTGATGTAGTCATTCAACAAACTTTTGTTCAGTGCCTACTCTGTTCCTGCTATCTCAGAAGGTGGGGATACTGAGATGAACTTGACACCATCCCTGCCTTCATGGAGCAACATGGAAAGCCTTGACTTCCCATTGAACAGATGGGAAAACTAAGGTCTTTGGAGGGAGAGGGATTTATACACAGACAGTGGGAATATGGCAGAGGTGGGACTAGAACAGACACTTCCTGATGTCAGGCAAGAGCTGCCATGTGAATTTTGTTTGGGCGGGGGGGGGGGGGGGGACATTCAGTTTTTGGCTCCAGGCTTAGAAAAGAGAGGTCTTTTTTTTTTTTTTTTTTTTTTTTTTGCAAGCGAAGAGGGTCAGAGTGATGATGGACCACCAGCTGGGCAGGAGATGGGGACAAAGTTGCTTGAAGGTGATTATCCATATTTTTGTCACTANCACTTCCTGATGTCAGGCAAGAGCTGCCATGTGAAGGGGGGGGGGGGGGGGGGGGGGTTGACATTCAGTTTTTGGCTCCAGGCTTAGAAAAGAGAGGTCTTTTTTTTTTTTTGAGACTATGAAGAGCAAGCGAAGAGGGTCAGAGTGATGATGGACCACCAGCTGGGCAGGAGATGGGGACAAAGTTGCTTGAAGGTGATTATCCATATTTTTGTCACTATATCTTTTTTTTAGATTTACAGAAAAATTTCCAATTCAATACAGAGAGTTCCCATCTATTCCACATCTCCCGTCCTTTATTATTAACATCTTACATTGGCATGACCCATTCATTTCCATTAATGACCCAATATTGACACATTACTATTAACTAAGTCCATCTTGTATTCAGACTTCTTCATTTTTTACCCAGTGTCCTTTTCTCTTCCAGGATCCCATCAGGATACCTCATTACATGCAGCCTTCATGTCTCCTGAAGCTCCTCTTGGCTGTGACAGTTTCTCAGACTTTGTTTTTGATCAGCCTGGCAGCTTTGAGGAATACTGCTCTGGTATTCTCTCCATGTACTTTTTAAACAAATATATTTTTGTTTACATATGCCAGCCACATGCTAGATGATAAAGATAGAGCCACAAATAATGTACAAAGGATACCTGCTCTGTTGGAGTTTAATGGTGAAGAATAAATAGCATCATTGCAGGGGACACACAGGATGCTGTGGAGGCACACATCAATCTTTTGGTGTTCACCAGAGTGATCACAGGCAGGGCTGATGCATTGGCTGAAATCACAGATCCATCTCTGGGTCTTTATTTATTTATTTTTAAATGTTGTTTTTTTTTTTTTAATTTATTTCTGAGAGAGAGAGACAGCATGAACAAGGGAAGGTCAGAGAGAGAGGGAGACAGAATCCGAAACAGGTTCCAGGCCTTGAGCTGTCAGCACAGAGCCCGACGCAGGGCTTGAACCCACAAACCATGAGATCATGGCCTAAGCCGAAGTCAGACGCTTAACCGACTGAACCACCCAGGCGCCCCATCTCTGGGTCTTTAAATGTCTGGCATGTCTCCCACCTCCAAAGCCACCCTAGGACTAATTTTCTTGCCTGAACAACTACAAACCTGGTGCCGTGACACAATATTTGTGTTTAATGGTCATGTTGCCCCATGTTGATTCGTAATTTATTATTTAGCCATGTGGCACATCTCTTTCTACACAAGGCTGCCTCCTGTGTAGACAGAGGAATATCAGGAATGGATTCCCCACACCTGCTTAAACTGCCTTACTTGGCCAGCACGCTGATTCTTCTCCATTTCATGTCCCCCCAGCACTGGGATTTGGCCTCACTATAATAGCTCTGTGTGCTGGTCTGTCTCCTCTACTGTATGGATAGCAGCTCTAAGGAAGGGTCTGTGTTTACACATCGTTGTATGCCCAGTCCCTGGAATGTGGCAGGTGCTTAAAGTGTATTTGTTTAAGTGATTGAACAAGTGGATAAGGAAAGCACAGGTAGAAAGGTGAGAAAAACTGATTTTTGCTTAATAAGTTGCTTGCTTTTAAAAGAGCCCAGAAAGATGAAGTAAAGGCTGGTGCCTGAAGAAATGAACTGGGATTGATGAGTACTAAGA